TATTATTTACGAGAATTGTTGTTCGTTTCTGAAAAATCTAAAACTTCTCTTTCTCAACTCTAGATCAAATCAATCGATATTTGACCTGCTGGTAATTTTTGTTCATATGTATGCCCGAATCCACTCGAATAATTTTAATTTATCATCACCATCAGCATCTTTTTTATCTTTTTTTCAATTTTGCAAGCATTCTTTTATTAGATTGTCGAATTCATCGTTATAAATTAGTTTGTGATATTTTAAGCAGTCATCGCAGTAATTTCTTTGACAATCGTAAACATTTACTACAATCATGCGATTTTATTATTATCAAGTATTCGTTCGTAGTTGGATTTTAGTTATTCCATAGCTAAATTGAAGAAAAGTTTGAATCTATTTTTGAAAAATCTGATTGTATTAGCAACAAAAAGTAAATTCACTTTAGTTTTTTGCCTCGCGCATAAACTTTGGAATAATTCGGTTTGAATTGTGTAATGATTTCAACGCAACATTTCTTTCTCTGCGTTTAAATTTATTTTCTTCATGATCCCACATGGAAAAGTATCATAATGCAATGGTCCACCCAACCAGGTTGTTTTATAAATTGACGCAAAACTTCCATTCAACGTTGGCAAATTTTTCAAAAGGAATCTCGTTCAAATATGTTTTTATATCTATCGCTATAATTAATTCTTTTATTATAACCTTATCTCCGCTAGACAATTCAATAATAAAGCTAAATAAATTAGGAGGAAATAAATTAAAAATTATATTTTTTATTTGATATAGATATGATTAAATCTTTTTAAATAAATGAATAATTATTCGGCGCCTTTTGCTTTCTTACTCGCTTCGCAGGAGGGAGTTGGAAGGCTCATTCGTAAGTCTCCAAGAGTTCAGCAAGGTTTAAGGGAAGCTTCTGCCATTGAGGTTTGCATTTTGTCTCCTATATCTTTAACAGACCTTGGAGGGCAAGACTGAAAAAGAATAATCACAATATTAAATCATTAATTTTCCAATTCTTATTTTAAAGGAATAAATTTTTCTTTCGTTACCTAAGACCTTCCAACTCTCTGTTGTTGTTCTTTGCAGCCCAAGAAATAGTTTCGGCCACCAAATACTCAAATCACCAAAGAAGAAGAGACGTAAATTAGCGGATGACGATCCATCTGCACCAGCGCGGAAAGTGCACAAAATTTCTGCAGACGATAATGCGGCATCGAGATCTGCCAAGGTCAATCAGCAAAAGATATTAGAAAAAAAGGAAAAAACGCCTTCTAAAAATTCGAAAGAGAAAACGGAGAAGGAAGAATCAACATTACAAGGTTCGAATGACAAAAAGGAACCGACATCGTCGTCAAAAACTTCACGAAAAAAATGAGACGTCTTCAACCGAGAAAAAAGAGCACAAACCCTCAAATGATCGAAAAGAATCAATATAATCCTCGCGATCTTATAGAAGAGATGATACAAGAAGCTCAACAAGTAGACGAGAAGAATCATACCCTTCCCGAAATTCAACAAGCATCAGAAGAGATGACGCTTCTCTTAACACAGATGATGACGTTCAAAAGTAACTAGATAGAAATTTTCAAAGAACTATGATTTTTTTTAATTCACGCTAAAAATAATAATTTCATATTTTAAGATTTGTGGAAATTGGTAAAAACTACAAACACGAAGTAACACGAAAAATTAATGAAGCAGTAATAGCAAAAACAAAAATCACTGCAGAGCATCATCGTGCAGTTGAGGAATGCAGCAACGCAAAAAGATTAATTACAGAAAAAAGAAAAATTAGCTTCTGAAAAAGAATCACTTCTTAACAAATGAACAGCAAATTGTCATCGGCTGCAGCTATAAGGTTCAAGAAGGATTATAAGAGGGCGCAGGAGGATTATAAGAAGGCACAAAAAGATCTCAAAGAAAAAGAAGAAAGTTTGGCATCAGCCGAGGATAAATTAAAAAGTGGGATTGCAAAATTTGAAAGCGGCTTTCCGGGACCTTGCCAAGTCGCTTAGTGCGTACACTCGGATGTGAGTTTTATATTCAACTAAAATTCTGCTTTTTATAGACTTAATTGATTAATATATTATGTATTGAACTAATTTTTAGGTACACTTGCCAGGTCTCAGCGTTGACGAACAAGGTAATCATAGGCACCTTGAACTTTCTTCAGCTGTGTAGCGTTCACTGATTCTGTGACCTTTTCAGTTTGTTTTGTGGTCAATCATGATTTTTTATTTGTTGATGATTAATTGTTAATTTCTTTTCGCCAACAGTAGTAGCATTGGCCGACTTATTGCACGTATCGGTATTGACTATTTCAGGCGTCCTAGATCTGACACGTGATATTGGTCCTCGATTAGGAGATCGAGATCGCGATCGGCCTCTATTTGGACCAGTTCTCAGCTTGTTTATATTGAGCATAGCGACAGAATTTTGTTGCTTTTTCTTGGTTGATAATGGCTTAGACAATAGTCTCAACAAACCCGAACGTAGTAGATCTGATAGTCGCCGTTGCGCCGTTGTAATATCAATGTCCATTTCTTTATCCTTAAAATTTATAACGATAAATTTTACATCGAATGAATTAAATAGGTTAAATTCATTCGATCAAATACAAAATTTCCTCTATTATACAATATCTATAATATAATACTATCCGAATAAAGTACCCGGTTCCGCATAGAGTACCTGGGGCAAAAGTCCAAGATATAGCGCACGAGAAGGGCGAGCCATTTGGGGTGTTGCCACCGTTGAATTGACGACGTTGGGATTTTGATTTGGTGGAAAGGGGGGGGGGGAGTTCCAGTAACCGGAACAACGATGATTACAAACTCTGTGTTTGGACAGGAGGGTTGAATGCGTGCGATTTTATTTATGGCATTATTACGATCACCAGTTTTGTCATAGGTCACCAATAAATATTTGATTTAGCCGATTGTCAAGAAATAGTTGCATAGCTTTGGAGATAAGGAATAAGATCTTCGTCTCAATCCATAACAATGGCGGTGGATTTGAACTAATAATAGGAGTACGCCTTTGATCAAGTGTTGGTTTAGGGTTCCAACCACCCACATCAGGTCGAAACTGATTACCATTGACCATACATATAGTATCAATCTCAGTCCACCATCCTTGAAGTTATTGGTTAAGTGAATTTGCCAACTTCCTATGTATTTCTGCTTTCACTCCACCATTAATGGTACTCCACCTTGATGAGCAATTTATTTTCAATATTTCAGCGTCAAAAATATTATGGATCATTTCAAAAATTTTATCACGTTTCTTGCCCTTGGCCTTATTTGTGGTAATTTAAGTTCTATAACATCCACATCATTTTCGATTTGGCTGATCACCTAAGAGAAACAAATTTGTTGGCTTAATTCAAAATACGTGTTCCAAACAAATGAAAATACATTATTAAAACCTCAGATTTTGTATTGAATTAACTAGATTTTTTAGAATACGACTCAACAAATACCAATATTTATTTAATAATGATATCAGATTTAATATGTGAGCCCATGCTTTATTTAACAATAGCATCAATTTTTTTGTCTAACTAGTATATTTTTATTAAAAGATATTTTTTTACTACACATAACCGAGATAAAAAATATATGGCCAATGTACATGAAGATGAACTTGAGAAAGAATTACACTATGATATTAAGGCCAAGGCTGAGATTAATGACCGTATTGAAAAATATTAGATGGGTATTCTGAATTACTGAATAAATTCTCAGATCAAGAAAAAAATTTTAACTACGAACGGAAGACCTGGAATCTTGAAAGGAAGCAGATGAAGCGTGATTTCAATCGTGATTTGAAACGAGCTAATTCAGAGATTCAAAAACTCCATGATTCTAATATACAACTTATTAATGAGGTAAAACAATTAAAGATAGAAAATCCTAATCTTTCTTCCCAATTTTTTCATGAGCTATTTTCTCATACCGAATACAAAACTAAGTATGATGCTCAAATAAAATATATAAAGTCTCTCCAGTTCAACATTAAGAATTTGGAAGACAAGTTAATTTTATCTCATAAAAAAAGATTTTGAGAACCTATCTATCAAAATCCAAATTATCCGAATTGGAACATATGAATAATGAATAGACCTTAAAAGTTAAGGGGCTAGAACAATTAAAAATCGGAAGGTGAATCCCAAAATTTATCTTTAAATAAAATAATTGGTGGCGGTAACGATTCTCAAAAAAAATGAAATAAATTCTTGGAACAATGACTCAGAGAGTAGCACCTTTGGAGCTGGAATACTCAGTAAATACTTAAAAAGAATATAGCAAGTAATGCTCCTGTACAAGTTCCTGAAATAAAACGATAATCCTTCACCTCAAAGAGATACTTCTTTAGCACTCGACAATAATAAGGTTGATATATATTCACAATCAGAAATGAATGTATCTTCGAATGAGAATATACATGTGGCCCCGCAACCTGCACATCAGGATAATCCTAATTCCTCTTCGATTGAAGAGACAAAGACTCGAGTCTCTGACTCATTAAATCATGAGATTTCAGCTGGAGAAATAGATGTGATTCCCCCTGTGGTAGGTGTAATGAGTTCAGGATATATATTTTATATACTTATCCTATTACTTATCGCTTATATTATGTGATTTTAGTATCGAGGTATAACCAGAAAAAAAATAAAATTAGTAATATACGTGGAGATGTAATATCTTTGTGCTAATAAAAAATCCATTATTTATTTGAACTTAAGATTTTTTTATGTGTATAAAATATGATTAGTATCGCTAATATGAGGTATTGGTAAGGTACTATTTCAATATAGGTTAACATTGTTTATTTATTTTTTTGCTTCTCAATCTCGATAAAACCCTTGGCCAAATTAGACGCATCATACCTCATATTTCTGAAAGCATCTAAGAATGCATTTATCATTTTCTGGTATATCACATAAAGAAGGGAGTTCTGTAATTATTTCTTCTTTCCGCATTGTTTCATATTGTCCGATTTTATCTGCATTTTTTATGTGCTCTTTATAACGCATATGTTCTACTAATTTTTCGAAGAACATTTCATATTTTTCAATAATTTTGATAAAACTTTACTTTATTATATATAGATATGACATTTATTTCTGAGCTGTCCAATTTTATTTCACGGAGAGGGGTATTTCTTGCTCTATTCTTGAAATTTTTTAGCAAGGGTTCTATAACATAATTTACAGCTCCTTCCCATAATCTTTTGATAGGTTCACTATCCTTAAAGTGTTCAAAGTTAATATAATTTCCGTGAAATATTTCATACGATCTTCCTATTTTAGAGGAAAGAAAATTCACGTGCTTTTTTGATAGCTTCTCTATATGCATGTTTACAAGCGTACCCACGAGCAACCATCATTTGGGGGAGTAACCCCATTTACCACATTTATCTCTTTAATATATGACTCGAGCCAACTTCTTGGCTTTGTTTTGAGCATAGGTATCAATTTGTTTATATTTTTCATCTGATTTCTTTGATTTGTGTAATCTTGTCAGAGGGTGGGGGCTCATTTCTCTTGACATACATGATGAATCGGGCACAAAGATCAGTAACAGTATTTTCGAAATAATGAGATAAATATATCTCCTTACCAAGCTCTTTCGCCACATCAGCAAATTCCATCCGATCTGCTTTTCCCAGCTTAAGCTTTTTGCCAGACAGATCAAAGATTTTATCGGGTTGGGTAATCACGTAACTAAAACGTTCACCTGGATCTGGAATCTTATTCCCATATTTATTTCTTATCCGTTTTATAGAATGTTAACACATTTATTGTCTTTATTAGGTTTCCATGCATCGGTTTCTATAAACTGGTCAAAATCCCATTGCTTGGAATTGATATTGCCAGCTCTGAGAACATCTTTAACAATTTTATGAAGTGAACGCTTGTTGTCGATATCCATGGCCCCCCCAAATAATTCGATCTCCTATAGTTTAAAAAGTTGCGACTTACCCTGCTTCACAGTATTAATTCCTTTAACGAAAAGTTTCTTTGTTGGACCAAAATTTGGAATACCTTTATGCTCCATTCCGAATATTTCTTCTTACTTGTGAAACAAACTGGAAATAAAACTTCATCATATTCCATCTTAAGATATGTTGATCCGCTCTTTATTCTAAGGTATGTATTTATTTCATTACAAATTTTTTTCATTACATCCATTGTAATCTCAACCATTTTAATCCAGTATTCTAATTCGAAATTGAACCTTTTCCGTTATTATAAGCCAAATCACATTTTTTACAATAATCATCAGGAGTGATAAGATAGATATAGAGAATCTGTGTCTCCATACTTGATTTTAAAACTTTTCCTTTATAATATAATCGGCAATGAGTGATATTATACTGTCATGCTGATGTAACTCCACCAGCTTATTCTAAAAAGAAGAAGGGTGATAAAGGGTATTCATATATGTTTTTGCTGCTTTTTTGTTTTGAATCCAAACAAGTGTAATCGAAACAGATGGGAATCATATTCTATTATAAAATCGTTATAGGACCCATTGACAAAAGGAATTAAGATCTTAGATATATTAACGATCCTTTTCATTTTTTGCATTTTTCAGGATATAATCAATCGCATTTGTTAGTGATAAACCCTCTTTCATTTTACCTATTACTAATTCTATGCACTCTTTTTTCTTACCGAGAATTCCTAATTGAGCTTTCATTTTATTTCGTTTGTTAAGTAAATTTTTCTAAAACTTCTAAAACTGAAGGATATAAACTTTTTGGTTAGTTTGATTTTGGTGCCTTACTGACGCCTTTGAAATGAAATCGTACGCAGATTTTGAAGCGACCGGTTTAGACCGACTAACAAATATGAGAAAGCTAGCGTTCCTACACAAATTCCACCATGGTTTTTCTAAAAGATCTCATGACAGGGTGTATGGTATTGCATCGAAATAAAACATTTAATCATTTATACTTTTTGCTGTTTTCGATTTGCTATTAGTGCAAGATTTTTATGTTAGAACTGGAAAATTTTAAATCAACCGTAAATATTGAATATCTTGAAACGGGCCAGCTGGCCTTCATAATTGAAAAACAATGGATGGATCATAAAAAACTAAATCGATTTTCAAAGGACTCACATAAATGCCAAAAAACAAGAAATTCAAAGGGATAACGAAAAAAAATTCGTTGACGGTCTTCAAATCAATGTTATTGGTATTGTGCTGGAATTTCGATATATGATGTCTGGTATATATAAAAATTACCTTTCCGAACGTGTACTCATTCCACTAAGTATATTAAACCAATTTATAACATGCATTATTACATTTCGAACTTGTATTGCATGTGTAATGCGTAAAATTTTATCTATAGATTCTAACGATGGTTACAATCCCTCCAATTTCATCAAGTTCACAAAGGCGCATATGTTTCTGCTTATTAGATATATGTAGGCAGACTTGTCTCTTTGAAGATGCAGAGCACCGAACTACAGCAAGGATTGCGTGTTGACCAACAGCTGAGATCCGCTAAAACACCCCGATGCAACGGCTTAATCGCATCAAATACTGCGCCACTGCACAATTGTTTGAATTATCCTGTTCAAATAAACTATTATTGCAATGCTAGATTATTATATGTAATGCAAAATTAAATTTTCTATTAAAAAATAATGCAATTTTGCCAATCAAAAATAATACAATGTACCAAATAGATATGTATACTGGAAAACCTATAATTCAGACCCGGAAAAATTCACACTCTAAAATTGACTTGCAAACCGCAACCGATTTTAAATTTTCCGCAAATAAATTTTTTGACTTTCCGCATATGAATTTTTAAATTGTGCATGTTCCGATATTTAATCTACTTGCGGGTTTTATTGAGTATATGGTATTTAAGTTTAGCGAATGATTTGGCGTATGGTGACTTTCGGACGTGATCATTCACCACCCAGTAATCAGTAATCGCACCAAAATACCACCCATTCGATTCATTTATTCATGTCGATGGTGGTATTTTGGTGCGATTCTGATCACCAGGCGTTAAGATATTGAACTTTGGTATATCACTCTGATGTTATTATTTAAAAATCTAAAACTTAACGGGGGGTTTGTCCAAACTCTCGTCATTTCCCAATTTAGCAGATTTTGCTCATCACCATTTACATGTATTATTTTTGTACGCTAATGGGTAAATTTCTTGAAACATTAATTTAGAAATATTGTTTTATTATAAGAAATTTATGATGGCTAAAATTCTCATCAAGCAACAAAGAAAAATTACAAAAGGTGTCTAAATGTAGCTTGAGCATTACCGTTACTTCGAATCACGGCCCGCATTAAGCTTTAATTCAGGGCGAAATTCGAAATTACAGCCCTGCGCGTTATTTCGTGAAAATATGGTAATAAAAAACGTGAAAAGCAATTTTAACTCTAGCTATAAACAGTCTCCACACTTAACCATGTGTGGAGTTCTGTTATTTATTCTAACGAAATTAATTTCAAACAATTATGATAGCGGTTTAGTTTTATTGAGAAAAGAGCCATCTACATTAAGACTTTGACGAGGTGAGTTGTGATGTGTTGGGTAGAGTCAAAATTGCTTCAAATAGGAATAGAATAGCTCATTATTTCCCGTAGTATCTTTTATAGTCGCTATATCAACGGGTTACCGGAAATTAAAAAAGGTAAACACACACGCGAAGTTCTCAATTATTTGTTATTTGTGACATCATGATGCAAAATACAAGTATATATTTTGTCTCGTGGCGAATTTATGCGTGTGAATGCAAACAATTTTGACGTATTTAGTATGCGTTTGTTTAGCGATCGAGTGTTGAAAAACATAAACTTTGTCCAGATGTCTCGGGGAACCGGAAATTTTAAAAAATTTTGAGCTTTTTCGAAATTGTTACTAGTTCATGATCAGTGAAACAATCGTCATCTTGACTATCTCGTAAAGGGGTTTTTTTTGCTCGTGTCACTTATCTATCCACTTTGATTATTTTGTGAAAAAATAATTTTTTGCGCGCAAAATCGAGTTGATCAATATTGACTAATTAAAAAAAAGACTTGATGGTTCTTAATTTCAGGTCATCCTTTCCGAAGACATTTATTCTAGTAAATAGTCAACTAACTTGTCGAAATTGGTTATGATTCTTCAAAAATGAATATATGATATTGATAAATTTCAACTTACCATTTTTTTATCATTAGAAATTCACATCACCAGTGATTTAGAAATAATAGAAAACACGGCCAGGAAAGAAACATGCTGGCTTGGGTCCCACTTGTCAGTTTAATATATAGACTACGACACCCCAATATCATTATGTGGGGATCCGCAAAAAAAATAACCAAACTTTTATTCTTTATTGCATTTCAAAAAGTTTCATTGTCTTTGTTTCTTCACGTTCGTGTTACATTTTAATTTTTTTTTTAGTAAAATAATAAACGATGCAATATTCCTATCGCTATTGTATGATAATATCTATAAATGGGATCGTTGAAGATTTACATGTCAAACTAACGTGAAACTTAAAAGATCCCTGATGTATCGTCGTCATTCAAATGCATCGTTCTCGATTTCATATGCTTTAAATTTACGCGTTAATACTTTTTAACGGACTATACTAAAGAATAAAGTTCTTACGCCGAAGCCACTTTTGCTGTATCTGAAAAGCTGCATGAATAATAAATAATGTATATGCACCACCACCTAAAGATCAATAACCTTCGTTAAATGGTGATGATCTTCGTTAAACTTTTTTTCGATTGTTCTTCGGTTTCGCCACCTAATTAAAAATAGGTATAATAATTACTGGAAAACATCCGTGTCGTTTTGTTCTACCATATGATGCCACGATACTATCCATGTTGTGTGTCGCTTTGCATTAGGATAATAATATGCATAAACCCATTCGTTCGATTATCCGAGTAATAATGATAACGATAAAAAATGGGCATACGATTATTTATAATACTCAAAAGTTGAAATAGAGTAACTTCATAAAGTATGACGGAATTTCGTTGGTGCTGGTTAATATTCTTCTCATCGTCGTCACGCAAAATATACTTTTTTTAGATGCATCATAGATGTTGCCTCACATTCATGTATGTATGCTATTATTGTCGTCACTATCGTATCTCCACTCTTTTATTGTGTCTTACCACAAATAATTTATTTAATATTTCAAAATGGAATACAAACAATCACAAACTATCATCAGAGTGATAAGCGAATTACCCGTCTTTTTCATTCAAAGGCCATTATTATAAACTTTTCCATTATTATTACCATTCATTCATACACACACACACGCACCCACTCACTCACACCACTAACTATTTCGATATGAAGAGGAATAATTAAAAATGTTAGAACGTCACACCAATAATAAATAACTAAAGTAAACGCGTGCAACAAACAACACTAAATCGCGATTTTCATCCACAGCCCCCGTCCCATCATTAATTTTTACTTTTCTCGACGTTTCCCGTTTGTCATCTCTTTTTTCCTTAGTAGTTTTTTTCAATCTTTATTTGGGTATGCTGGGGTGATATACTTTCTTTCCTTTATCATTATTTTAGTTTATTTTTTATTGTTTTTTTTTTCTTGATCAGAAGATTTCTCCTTTCCTTTCTTTTCTTTTCCCCCTCTTATTTTTATTATTTTTTTCGTTATCCTTCTAGTGTCCTATTCTTTTTCATTGGATAGAATAGAATATTAATTAATTAAAAAAAAATAGTTGCAAGTTTTCTTTTACAGCTCGCTTTCCTCCTTTTTTTTTTAATATTTAAAAATCTCAAAAAAAATGAAACCGAAAAACATATTATCCCCGACGCGGTTATTCAGCAAGAAGGGTAATAATAATAATAACCCGAATAATGCTGCCGCCACGACGACGGAGAAGGAAATAAGTAGGGAGGCGCCTACAACAACAAAGGTAAAAAGCGACGGTTGGCATAGCAAATGGAGCATTAAAACCAAGAAACACCAAGTTGACAACGAAAGCGTTGCGAATTTAAAGAACGAGGTTGAAAAGTTTAGAAACGGCGAAGCGAACGCGAAGAAAGAACTCGAGGCTGCCAAGGACCGGCTCGACGCCACTCACCACGAACTGGTCGACGCCAAGAAGCAACTAAGTCAGGTAAACGATTCTTTACAGGCTGACTTATCACGTGCGAGGGATACCATTCAAGAACTCCAGACGAAGTTGACCACCACGGTCGCCGAACTCGAGAGGTCCAACTCGTTAATCAGGACCAAGAATTCCGCCCTCGCTTCCAACGAAACCCGCCTCAGGAACACCGAAGATCGTTTGGAAAAAACAATTGCTGATCTTGAAGAACTAAAACTTAACTTACAGAAAGCTAACAATGCTCTTCAAATTAAAGATAAATCATTAGAAGACGCTCAGAATTCCCAGAAACAGGCCACTATCGCGCTCCAGAATAAGGACAAGGCGCTTGAAGACGCTCAATATCTGCTTAAACAGACGAAAGCAACCCTAGAAAACGTGAATGAAGCTTTCCGAACCAAAGATAGAACGCTTAACGATATGAGATCACAACTTATTCAAGCCAGTCAAGAACTGGATACAACAAAAGCAGACTACGAATCCACAAAGGAACAATTTGAAAACGCCAAGCTCGAACTGGAACAAACGAAAATTGCTCTAAACAATTCGCGGAATCAATTGAATGAATCACTTGCTCAACTTGAAGAATCAAATCGTGCCTTGGATTCCACTAAATCTTCACTCAAAGATGCTCGCAACGATCTTGGCGAGGCAAATCGGGAAATTGAAAGAACCAGATCGACACTTCTCGAACTGTCTAATCAACTTGTACTCACAAAAGAAGAACTTGAAGAGATCAAAGCATTAAATCAAGAGTATCCAGCTCAGATCGCTCAACTTAAACGGGAACTCGAAGAAGCAAAATCTCTGGCTAAAGAGGCTCCTGAACAACTTGCTCGCGTGAAACATGAGCTTGAACAAACCAAGGCAGATCTAAAAGAATCAGATGCATTACGTCACGACGTGACACGTGATTTGCAACTTACCCAAAAGGCATTCCGAGATATCACGTCTAAACTAGGTGATCTTCATCGCACTTTGGATGAGACAAAGTCTTCATTATCAACCTCGAATTTTGAACTTACTCGCACAAAAGCCGAATTAGAATCATGTCGCGTAGCATTAGCATCAAAAGAAGAGTCTCACGTTCTAGCATTACAAGAAAAAGAAGAAGAATCACGTACATTGACAGATTCCCTTCGGGCGGAAATTGTCAATCTAAAAAATCAAGTTGATAGCAGTAAGATACTAATTGAACGACAGAAGAAACAAATCGCAGCAAATGCTCAGACAGTAAAACAGTTACAGAGTGAAAAACAGAATCTAACAAAGAAAAAGGGTAATTATTCTATTCTTTCATCTTTGCTAATTGTCCATTTAATTTTTTTCCAAATAATTAATTTCCCAAACAATTAATCACTTATTTATTAACAGTTGAAGATTCAAAGAAACACTATGAAACTGAAGCAGACAATGCAAAATTACGTCAAAAAATGCAATTACAAAGTGAGTGTCATTTTTTCATCTGATAATTAATAGTTAATAGCTCTCTAGTAGTCTGTGTTGACTTGTCGACTTGGATAATAACATCAAGGATACCTTTTAATAGCGCGCGAAATCGAAGAAGCAAAACACGAACTTGAACAATTACGAACGGATAATGCTCGTCTGCAGAGATCATTAGAAGAAATGGCCGCTGAAGTATCCTCAAGTGGTTTCCGATCTCGAACAACAAGCACAAGTTCAACAAAGTCTTCGATAAGTTCCAAATCATCACGTTCAAATCATGTCACGATTAATGCGTCGCCAAAAACGATGTCTTTTCCATCTACTCCCATCTTGACTAAAGCCTCTAACGTCCCTACCACCACAAATAACTCCAACATGGTTAACACTCCAACAGAGCTTAATAAACCAGTGGATGAGAATGATGGCTGGAAGACTGTCACCAAAGCAAAGAAAAACAAAAATAACAAAAATCATAAAAATAATTACAGTCAAGACAATCGGGAAAACCAAAGCAATCGTCGACGGCAAGTGGTGTCCATGTGGATATAATCAAAATGGGCTTAACGGTTTTTGGTCGCATTTATTTGTTCTTTTTTCGATGATTTTGTAGGTTTTAATGCAAATTACTCCATTCAAATTTTCCAACCATTTTCGTAATGTGAATAGTTTTTATGTTTTTTTTTTTTCGCTTTTTACCTTGTTATCTACCGCACCCAATACTCAAAGAATCACCCAACCAACAAACTATCTTCTTCATTAAACCCCATCTTCACCTATACCTTTCATTCTATACTTTCGCATCAACTTCACCCTAATCATTATATCCGCCTTCACACATCCTTTCACATAATATTTAACAACCACCCTCCATACCATATGATTAAACTTGTAGATTACTTTCCGTTATATGCTTTATTATTTAATTAATTTATTGTAAATCAGTGACGCGTTTTTTATATATAGACTGGGTTTTATATACAGAAAAAAACACACCAAGAAAACATTTGGGAAATCGGTAGATTAATATATTCATTTACAGGATTGTTATATAATATAATACAATAATAATAATAATGGCAGATCGAATCAGGTTTTCGATTTAGTAAAAAATTCATTTTCATATTATTTCTTGTATTGAATACAAACTTTTTAAATTCTCAATCATCTAATGTCCCTAACAAAAGCATGTGATTCTCAATGATTATTCGCACTATGTTGTCTCAACTTTACACCGGCCTCTTCAAAAATTTCTGCTGTTTCATCATCCATTCCATATGATCTAGTAGAGAGTGCGGAAAAGAGGCTCGCATAAGTTGTGTAACCTCATTAATAAGTACAACAAACAAATCAGACTCACAAATTGTAGACCACTTCTTTGACACCAACTTGTATTATTTTCAATGAGCATCCTATATTATTAATATTAATAATAATAAGGTAAACAATAAAAAAAAGGAATGGTGCAAGATTACTGGTTTTGAGCTTACTTAAGCAAGGACATCTATTAGGAAATAATGGAAAATTTGATTAGATAATTATTCGCATCTATTGTGGTAATTATTATTAACATATTGATAGAATGGTTATTTACGTGTTACAATATAAAGTACATCCGTTGGCGACGCGTCCCCGCCCTGCTTCCAACAGTGCATTTTCTTCTGCATGGAGACAGAGGCAAACATCTAAACCAACTCCACACGGGACCGCATCATTGCATCGTCGACAGCCACCCTCATTGCAATTCTTAAGTCCTCGAGGGGTGCCATTATAACCAGTGGCTACCACGCGACTATCCTTTACCAGTATACATCCCACTTTTCTCTTCATACAATTAGATCGACTAGCCGCAAGATCAGACATCCGCATGAAATAAGTATCCCATGAAGGTCTTAAGCGTTCCGCGTTGACTATGTCAAGTTTGTGAAGACATGAGTATAACGAGGTAAGGGAATCGTACGAATTGACCACATTCAAATCCGCCATCTGCATCAAATTAATTATTGGTGTTTCTAGATACTGCAGACGTGAATGATTATTAAGGTTTGTGTGTATAGTTGTCTCCTGCATGTTTTTGTTAAATGCTGTGGAGTATGCAGTCTTATAAAGTTCATCGTCACTTTGAGCCATAAACTCTTCTATTGTTGGTTCATTATGATTAGTCTCACGACACCTAAAAATGGTAACATAATTAGTTTGCATTTTGAAAATCCACCTATTATAACACGAGATATTTACCGATTTACATAACGTACGTATCGTAATGACATTGGACTATCTACTGCTATCAGCATAAAAAAAGGTCTCTTGCTATAATAATAAGAAAAAGATGAGCCAATTTATTCATCCAATTGATTTCCAAAATTTTTATCAGAATTGTAACCAATAAAGTACTTGAATATCTCCAAAGTCCTCATGCTCTCAATGTCGCAAGTCACAAAATTTTGCAACCAATGTTCCGTAACATGATTTAAAATATCTTCATCTTTATCGAAAAGTAGCGTTTCCAAACCGGCATGCTCGCGTTGATTTAGGCCAAGGTAGACAAACCCCTTAGAAACCAACCATTTCGCTACGCTATGTTTTCCAGCACAAAGGGGACCAATAATTCCTATAAACATTGGGACGTGTATAGAGTTAGATTGTCATGCACGTTTGGGTATGCGTATAGATTGTCATGCACGTTGGGGGACGCGTATAGATTTTCAAGCGTGTCTTCTAATCACATGCACGTCATAAACCAATAAAAATACGCAAATTTTTGATAAGCAACTAATAAATTTTTCTTCCTTGTAATCCACTTTTAAGCTAATTGATGCAAGATGTTTATGCTTGGAGGCAAAAATAGCTGTATAATAAAATTCTCCTTTTAAATGGGAATTTTTAATTTGTATAGTATAGGTAATCTATAATGCTGTATCACTGCTGAACAGGAACAAAATATATTGATAAATTTGAATTTTCGAAGGATTTATTAGACTTAAGCCTGCTTTATAGCTTAATTTATTTAATGCTGGCTAATTTAAAGTCACATGATATGACTTGATCTTAATGTTGGCCAAAATTATTGTGTTTCTAATTTTAGATCATGTTTTTTGATATGCTCCAGGCAATATTGGCCGAAGCTGTACACTGGCATGATTTACGATTTTGAAAAGTATCTATATATATTTCTTTTTTAATTAAATACATATTGCACTAAATAATCTCATTTAAAATTTATATAGTTCAAAAGCGAAAAAGCTATAAAATAATGCTTAATTGAAAAATTATTAAAAAACTTAATATGTATGTGATCCTTTAGCATTGATAACAGCCATAATTCGTTGTGGCATACTGGAAATTAAATTGCGTACATCATCTAAAGACACTTTTTGCCATTCTTCTATCAATGCATCGATTAAGTCCTTTTTGGAAGTAGGAAAGGCTCTCTTTTTCCAATCTGACAGTCTAAATGGTCCCATATATGCTCAATTGGATTTAAATCAGGACTTTGGCATTCCAAAACTGGAATATTATGAGTTTGTATTCACCAATTAGTATAATGTGAAGTATGACATGAAGCACCATCTTGCTGAAAGAGTGTATAAGAGTTATTATTCATCCAAGGAATTAAATTTTTTGCCAAAAGTTAACATAACCATCAGAATCGAGATTATTATTGATCTCTACCAAAGGTCCAGTGCAATACATCCCCAAAACATAACTGATATTTTACTGTTAGAACTACACAACTTTTCACGTGTTTTCCAGAAGAGTTTCGCCATACGCTTGTACATCCATCTGAGTGAAAAAGAGAAAACGGAACTCATCTGACCATACAATTTGGTACCATTCAATATTCCAATTCTTTTTTTCTTTGCACAATTTTTTATGACGAAGAGTTAGAAGAGGTTTATGAATGGCATAATGGGATTCAAATGATAATGATTTTATATAATTACGAGTAGTATTATAATGATTGGAGTTTTAATTTTTTTAAGTGGTGCCTTGCGATCCTTTTTAATAATTCGTTTATCACGTTCAGATAAAATTTTTGGTCGTCCAGGACGTTTTACGGGATGTGGTGAACCTGTTTTCTTAAAGCGGTTGATTGTATCACGTACTGTTTGCTTCGGAATAGCCAGATTAGAGGCAATGATTGATGCATTGCTCTCTATGTGATATGCACCAATTATTTGTTCACAAAGTTCTAATGACAATTCTTTTCGTGGTAAAACATTATTATTAGAAAAAGAATTATGAGGATCATTTTTATATACAAATTAAGACAAGAACAATAGCATAATCGAGACAACAATTTAAATGCACGGTGATTTACCGTAGGTAGTGTATATATTGCGACTAATAATCGATATGGTTGCTTTAGAGAAAAAACATCGGCATTCGTTTTTCTACGTCACATTTTACGATTACCCATAGATTTTCAATAGGATTTAGGTCCGGAGTCGATGACGGCCAATCAAGAACTTCAGGTACCTTTTCCACAAGAAACTTCTTAGCTTTACTGCTTTGTATGTTTAGGATCATTATCTTGTATATACCAAAGCATGTGTAAATATCATTAGCATAATAAATCCTCCTGTATATACATGTTGAAGAAGACAGCCATCCCGCGCCGGAATATGCTGTATTGAGTGCGAACAAAGCCATTATCCAGAAGTATATGCACGACTTGTTCACGTTCTATGTCCTTTCACCAATTGCTGCATATTGCAATCTCCTTCGAAAATGGAAAGGTTGGATTGCCTTCCTTCTATTAGAAAATTAAATCAACTAAAAATCAGGCTAAATTTTTTTGATTTAAAAATTAGGCTAAATTTTTTGATTATACTTTTTCAATGACTTCATTATGCCCTGATCTTTGCTTCGTAAGCGGAAATCTGACTTCAAACTTGCTTTTGTCCATCTTCCTAATGAATCCAGGTGCTATTTGCGAGGAAAATGATGCAGCTTCTTGATGTTTATCGAAGTTATCCTTGCCACATTTTATATATTTCGTTTTTCTGGTAAACATCTGAACACTGTATAGAATTATTAGTATTAAATACCTCTTCTTCACTTGAGTTTAAAGTTTGAAGCCTAGCGTAGTTATACCATCCTTGATAGAAATTTTGCCACGCACGTCAGTTGAGATTCTAAATCAGAATAAGATATTTTAGTTTCGAAGATACACACATCAAACGATACCATGTACACTTTTTCGGGAGAGTAACTTTACCTTCTTGTTGATCGGGGTTAAAATAATATCCAGCATTTTCCTCTTCAATCACTTCATTATCCTCATCTTTAATATTATATGGGGTTCCAAAGATATTTTCTAAGAGGAATTCTATTTCCGATTCTTGAACTCATACAAATTCCGAAATTCTTCTCTTAACGTCAAGTTAACTGAAATATTAAAACCTGATGTAAATTCAGCAATAATAATAGGGGTACGCCAGCTTAGAAAATATAGGCGATGCCTTTATCGCAAGCGGTTTTTAGACAACTGTAGAATTGTTTGAACAAAGTTTCAATTGCAGTCATACCTCTTTATAAGAACACTCTATATAAGAACAATCTCTCTATAAGAACTGGATCTTGAGAGCTATTAATTAGTATATGTATTACCTTTATAAGAACAACCTCTCTATAAGAACCAGATTTTCTGGCCCAGCTGTGTTCTTCTTATACGATTGTCGCTTTCGAAGACATTAAATATTCATTTTATTTAACTCCACCCGACGCTAATCAATAATGATTATAATAGAAGCCTTGAAGGTTCAGGTTCCCCGTGATATAATGAATAGTAATAAAAAATTATTTTAACGTTTCGAAACGACCAGCTGGTGTATATTCACTGACAATGAGCGTAGCGAATTGGCAGTGTTATTGTTTTGTATAGGTATAATGATAACTATTCTGTTATTCTGACCACGCGTAATTATAATCTATGTCGATTCCTGATCACATGATAATCAACCAATAATAATGCGCTAAATTGTCTAACGTTATTTGCCGAGTTGATCAAAAATTTACGCATTCTTATTGGAGCACATTCCGAAGTTGTTACACTATAATTTCGGTTGGCACTATGCTAATACATCATTACAATTCGGGGCTAGTGCTGGGTGCAGTTAAGGGCTCTCATGTAAAAATAAAAGTTTTGTGTATGATCGCTATTTTTTTCAAATGGCGACACAAACCATTGATACTGGACACGAAGATTTAATTCACGATGTCGCTTATGACTTTTACGGAAAGCGTCTGGCCACTTGCTCCTCCGATCAACGAATTAAAGTCTGGGAGTATAACGTCAAAACGAATATTTGGGAAACTGTAGATACTTGGAAGGTACTTTTTGCAGATTGCCAAGCGGGAAGACTATACTAGTATTATTAAACTCAAAAAATAACCTTTTAAGGCGCATGATTGTTCCATTCTTAAAGTTACCTGGGCTCATCCTGAATTTGGGCAGGTGTTAGCTTCATGCTCTTTCGATAGGAGCGTTCGTATCTGGGAGGAACAAGAAAATGGTAATCATGAAAATATTGATCTTACACAAGTATAATTCAGCTGATACGATCCCTTTATAGAACCCAGGAATAGTGGAAGACGATTTGTCCTACGGGCACGTATACAGGACAGTCTAAAATATATTCAAGATATTGAATTTGCACCCAATGTTCTGGGATTGAAATTGGTAAGTTAAAAGATGCTTTTTTTAAACATTTATTTATTTATAATGGAAATTTTTGTATAGGCAGCTTGCGCTGCTGATGGAATTGTTCGAATATATGAATTCATCGAAGTGAATGATCTTGAAAGCTATACGTGCATAGAGGAATTTGAAATCAATCCCGGGAATTTAACTAAAGAAGTTGAGGGGCATTCTTGTATTTCATGGTGTCCGTCGCGGTTTAACACAGCGATGATGGTTATAGGATGTGGCAAAGAGGCAAAGGTAACTAATTATTCTGCGATGAGCTTATTAGATATATAATTTATTGATAATACCCCAACTTCATTATCGTTCCGATATCGATGCTCTCAGATATTTCGACAGGATGGACAAAACAAGTGGCAAGCATATGAAGTTTTACCAGGTCATGAGGATACTGTACATGATGTGAGCTGGGCGCCCACCATGGGAAGGCTTGTGTCTCCTTATTGAACATTTCTTTTCTTTCTCATAGATGAATTAAAAAAAAAAGGAGCTTATCTGGATTGAAATTAAATCTAATAGGAGTTATCAATTGATCGCAACTGCCTCAAAAGATCAACACGTGAGAATCTATAAAATTACGTCTGATCGAATAAGATATCACGCCGAGCTTCTGTGTAGCTTTCGAGATCACAATGTAGAGGTAAAGTTTCTGAATTTTCATCTTTCATATCATAAGAGCTCAAATAACAAATTGTATTTTTTAAATCATGGTTAACAAAAATCCACAAGGTTTGGAGAGTGGAATGGAACGTTACTGGCACAATTTTATCATCCTCAGGTGATGACGGAAAAGTTCGATTGTGGAAAGGTAATATTTTAAAGAAATTTTTTTGTGATTTGCGATAAAATTCAAGATACATTATTAATAAATTTCTCCTTTAGCTTCACATAATGGTGAATGGAAGTGTATGAGTGTCTTATCATATGATCGTCAATCTGAAAGTAGCGAGATATAAATTTCAGAAAGAGGTTTTATGGATATGTAATATCGTCATTTTTTTATACATAGTTCCCTTTATTATCATCATTATTATTATAATGAATTCTTTTGGCAAGATTCAAATAAAGCCTTAAATGATGCCAGAATGGCTGAATAGTTGATAATACTGCACGAAGTTTACGATCCAATTTTTTGGCAATTAACAAACATTCCGCATCCAATGAAAGATCAACCGAAGGTTTCTTGAAACAAGTAATACAAACAAGAGCAATGATCTTATTATAAAAATTAATTTTTAAGATCTAATATCTATACAGTTCGTGGCACTGAGATTTTTCTGCAGAAAAGATTCGCTCGTTAAAAAGACCACAACAAGGCTCTAGTTATCGTAATATTATTGAGAAGTTCACGAACCAACAACAATGTTCAAAATTATCTTTTTCCATCTCGCATCTGATATTCTTTGATGGTTATTTCGATAGCAGTTTACGACGCAGTAATTCTTACAGTTCTCATTATTGTTGCAAAAATTAGTTTCATAGTGATTACGCCTTTTTTATACGTGCATTATCAAGACAGTTCAGAAATGTCTCGAAATCAACGTAGACAAGCTTCTTAAACTGTCGCCAATAATGCAAGTAATATAGCGGAACTTAGAAGTGCTCGTGAAATAAGCTTTTATGACTCGACGAAACATACTATTGGATCGTTTACGCGCACAATTAAACGAAAACGATTCAAATGCTCCATTAAGAAACCAAGCCGCATCAGAAACAAAAAAATGAGAGGATAAGATATACTTTATGCGTAGATTCGCATAAAAAAGAATAATGCGTCGGAGATTATCTGGAGAACGGGTAAATTGAAAAAAAAGGAAAAAAATCATCGAGACAAAAGAAATTGAAGAAGATAGCGAAAATATTATATTTGGGTTGCACAAATCAATCCGGTTCGAACGCGACGTGTTGGATTAACAAGAGAATTTATACAATTATAGTATTATATATAAACAAACGTTTAGTTGGAACTTTAACGCGTCAGCAAAAAAAAGAAACTATTAGAAACTATAATATTCTAGAGATTTTAGACGATTTTCTAAAATTAAAGCTAAAGATTATTTCTCTATATAAAGAAATGCCAGTCATAGGCTCAGAGATACCAACAACTAGTGTTTCAGACAAGGAAAACGGAATGGAAGAAGAGACTGACGAACTTGAGAACTCTAATAACGAAGATCAAACTGCCCAGCAGCAACAGTTATCTCCTCGTAAAAAAACCAAACGTCGATATTTATATGATCCTGAGCAAGATAAAAATGAAAAACGAACGATAAGAAAAGAATATAGGCGTCTAATTACTTCTACCGAAGGTGCGATCACAATTATTCAAAAGGAATTTTCGTGCGATTATACAGAAATTCTGGGCATATTTAGAATTGATTTCTTAATTCATCTTAGAAAATCGACAGGATTATATAAAAGCTGATTCGAATGGATTAGCGGAAACTTTAAAAAAAGCAAATAATTTATACAAAAAAGGTAAATCTCTATACGTTTATGTGTTGAACGTTTAAGGATCATTAAAATTCAGCTTTTTGTTTTAACTTTCAGTTAGAAATACGCATGAGGCGATCCTCGACTCTCGTATTCTGGTCCTTTCTGCAGATTTAAACGTCCAAAAAGCGCGTCGTATGAAAATTGACAATAACGCTTTTGACACAGATGATTATATTGCTAAATTGACAAACTTTATGGGAGAACAACAGACGCGTGGAGAAGATGAGGATGTCCACTTAGACTGGTTAGGTCTTGGTAAGGTTGCTGCACGATATACCAATCGTGCCCCATCAATGGACTTCATGTGAGATTTTCTCTCGAGTTGACGTTTCTTTTTTTTTTTAGTATATCACAATAAAATAAAAAATCCTCGTTATTCTTATTAGGCTTGGCCCGTTATCGATTGAACAAAAAGAAAGGGTAAAGGGAAAAACACCCGCACGGATAGAGAAAGATGAAAAGGATCTCAAAACCCCTATAAGTGTCCGTATTTCCAAGAGCTATTTGTGAAATTGAATGAGACTGGATCTAATTGTCAAATTTTATTTTACGATATGATGATTTAAATCATAGATGAAAGAACGTGATATCGAAAGACAGGAAAATGAAACTACGCGAAATGTCAAAATGATCGCTGATCTAATCCAGGAAAAGCAGCCAATAAATTTTTTTGAGTTCATAATAAATCCTGAATCATTCGGTCAGACCGTAGAAAATATGTTTTACCTATCATTTCTGGTGCGTGATGGTCAAGTTAGCATAGATGATGAGAACGGACAGCCAGTTTTATGTAAGTCATTTTCGCATATTATTTGCAAACATTGTTATTGATCTCGATAATTTTCAATACACAGCACGATGTGAATCAGCAACTGCTGAAGACTACGAGAATGGGCTGATCAAAAAGCAAGTTATCTTGGAAATGGATATGACTCTCTGGAAAGTAAGATTCATTTCAAGATTTTATTTTTTTTTAAATGTCTACAACCAATTAATGACCATTCTAAAATATAATAAATAAAAGCAACTCATTGAAGTATATGAGATCAGAAAAAGTGTTATTCCCACAAGAGAAAAGAAAGAACACACAAGTGGAAAGTGGTATGGTTGACCACGTTATAAGATTTTGTTAAACATAATAATGGAAATAAATAAATCTAGTATTGAAGAACTGGAAACAGTCTCCTCTCATTTAATTATATTTTTTGTGATTTTGCGAGTTGGATTAATATGAAGAATTTTTACCATTAATTAAAAGGAACATTAAATAATGCATGCATGTTAAATAATAATAACTATATATAAAGGATGATTACTTAAATGATTTCTGTAGGGAAGAATCTAATACTAATTATATTATTATATACAAAAGAAACTTGCAAAAAAAATTTGCCATTGTTAGAAGAGATCGCATTAATCAATCCAAATATACATAAAACAGAAAGTCCAGTAGGTAATATATCATCCCCATCTATTTTATAAATTAACTCGAATCATCATCTTCTGAATATCCGGTACGATTAACCGCCGAGTAATGGTTCACGTTCTTCTCCCAGAATTTGCCGTTCCCGGCTGGTGGCACCGGTATCGGTAAAAAGATTGTGTACACGGGACTAGAGAACAAAATAATATATTAAGTGAATCAAGACATTGACATGTGAATAACATTTTTTTATTTTCAATATCCTACTATTTACTAAATAAAAAGGAGGAATTGGATCTATCAATCTCTCTTAAAGAGAAAATAAAATAAAAACAACTATAACATGAATTAATCAAAAGCTTACTGGTTTCTTCCAACATTAAAAAACTCTCGCAAATTATTCAGCGCACCAAGATTATACGGATTAATGAAAACCTAATAAAAAAAATTATAACTTTAAAAATGACAATCTATAAAATAAAGAACTCCGATCTTCAAAAAGCCCAAATCATATTTATGGGATTACCTCGCCTTTCTGTTTCGCCGACTTCTTTGCATACTGGTTGTTATAGAATTCTACAGTCGTCTGTGCTGTGATAATCTAGAAATAAAATTTATATCAATCTACAAATCAAACAATAAAGTAACAGAAAAACAGAAGAAAAACAAACCAGATAATAATGCCAAGAACACATTCCACCTATTTCAATCAAAAATATATATATATTAAAAATTATACGTTCATTGATTTTTTATTTCCCAAGATTTTTCATATAAATGAATTTTATCATAACTAATTATGGTTAAAAATCTGACCCAATGCTATGCCAATAGCGAACGCCAAAAGGTAAGATAAGGCCATATAAGGTTTCGGCACCCAAACTTCCCACTATCAAAACAAATCAAACTCGTTAGAATACATGATTTTTTCTAACATAACAGAAAGATACACGGTATAAAATCTTTTTTATCCCCCAAAAACAATAAAATCCGTTACCTCATCATAATCATCAGCAAGATCAACACTCCTTAAAAACGGTTGCCAGCCAACCGCTACGAAGTAAAAACACCCAAACACTAAATACGACATGAACAAAACGAAGTATCGATGGTTAAAGTATCCGACACAATTCGATATCCACGGACAGTGATGATCGAAACGTAAGACACAACGTTTGCAAATTGAACAATGATGCGCACGTTCTGGTTTTGGCAAATGACCTAAGAGAATTTTTTTTATTCATATGTCAGAGTACAAATTATTATCTGAATTATTAATAATCAAGTCACATACATTTTTTACACGTTTTTGGAAATTCTTGATATTCCTCTAGCTCTAAAAATAAATCCTGTATGGATGGATCTTCTGCCTCCTGCATATTATTATCATTACCATTAAAAATTCTCATCATAATAATTTAGAATCAAAAATTAAAATCTGTTAAAATTAGGCACCTAACTCACCGACGATGTAGGTGCTGTGCTTCCGGTGAGAACCCCTCCAGGTTTTGTCCTCACCGCCATATAATAGTGAAAGGCTATACAAACCACTATATATATACTAAAGACAAGCCCTACATAATACCAAAATTTGGTCCATATATAGTCCTCGTCCCACGTGTAAAATTGTGGAAAAACCACTGTAAAGTACACGAAAACTGCCATTCCGATCAACATGACTGCTAACGCGATGAACAGTGGTCCTACTGTTCGTATTAGCGTGTTTGCAGCTCTTTCTGCGGCGACAAAAAGCTTACGCTTTATGTCTGGATCCATAATGTTAAGCGAAGTCATATAATATATATATATATATATATATATGATCAAAGAGTTTTTAGATTTAACGAAATGACGCAGTTTGGTTATATACAGATTCCAGCCAATGAAAATCAATCCTTATTTGATTTTTCTTTACGACATAATTCTATTTATCCAGGCCAAAATTGCCGTGCTTTCCTTTATAAGACTGATTCAATCTTGGAAAACTCTTGGTGGAAACTCCAAATATTTAAACACTATCCCAAATATAGATATGTAATAATTGGCAATATTTCATCGTGTCACGGTATTACATGAATACTCCATTTTTCCTATACTCAATTAAATCGCGTCTGTTATATATTTACTAAATTAAAATGCAGCTTCTGAATAATAATATCTTGTTGGATTTGTATTAATTTAACTTGACAAAGAAAGCTATTATACAAATCCTCATATAGTATTTATTCTATTTTTTAATTATCTTTATTTGATATTAAATAATTTATTATTATTTTATCATGAATAAATTCATAAACGGCCTCTTTGAGGCTTAATATTTCGTGATCTGGTGAAGAGAATTGAATGCAAAGTTTATCATTCGATTCAGCAGAATCTAAGGAATCAAATGGTGGGCTTCACATTTGATATCCACCACGGAATCTCGAGATATTGAGCCCTAAAGAGGCCGTAAACATAATTATTTACTAAACGGCTTAATACCTTCTTTTTGGCACTTAATATCTCGAGACCCAGTGGAGGGAATCGAGTGTAAAGACGCCATCCGATTCCCTATGTTCTGCTGCGGGCTTCGCATTCGATTCCCGCCACTAGGTCTCGAAATATTGAGCTTCAAAGAAACTGTGTGTGAAGTTTTGATTATTTTTAATGAACAATTTTTTGCACGGTCTCTGTGCTCAATATTTCGAGGCCCGGTGGTGGGAATCGAATGCGAAGCCCGCAGCAGAACATAAGGAATCGGATGGCGTCTTTACACTCGATTCCCTCCATTGGGTCTCGAGATATTAAGTGCCAAAAAGAAGATATTAAGCCGTACACATAATTTTTAGTAAATAATTATGTTTACGGCCTCTTTAGGGCTCAATATCTCGAGATTCCGTGGTGGATATCAAATGTGAAGCCCACCATTTGATTCCTTAGATTCTGCTGAATCGAATGGTAAACTTTGCATTCGATTCTCTTCACCAGATCATGAAATATTAAGCCTCAAAGGGGTCGTTTATGAATTTATTCATGATAAAATAGCAATTAATCAAAACATCCAGAAATTTTCTATCACGTGACACAATACATGATGAAAATAGCATTAGGTAATTATTATAAATAAATCTTTTAAGATATGTTATACAGCGGCGCTCAAAAGTAATGCATTACTAGGACGAAAAAACGAATCGTGAAATTTTTAGCAATATAGACGCCACAGGTAAATGAAATTTAGCCCATATATAGTTAAAAGCATAAATAAATAATACATATAATTTAAAGAATAAATGTAATATCACTTTGCTTAACTTATGCCAAACTGATGATGCATTTCTTTTGATCATTCTCTCTCTTGAAACAAATATATAAATGGATAAAAAACACACAACAAAACAAAACACACCTCCTATAAATAAAATACACTTATGAATTCACTCTTTTATCTCATATAATTAAAATTATTATGGCACATATTCCTGTTGAAAAAAGCTTCCAAATTTATACCTTTCTTAAAGAAGGATATTCTTTCCAATATATTGCAAATCGTGAAAATATTTCTCAATCCTCCATTATAAGAATAAAGCAAAAAAAAGATACTCATAATACCTTTAAAGATTTACCAAAACCAGGTCATCCTAGAATTTTTACTGGATGTGATGAATGAAATATTATATGTCTAATTTCAAATGGTAGTTTTCCCACTGCAACATCTATCCAAAAAAAATTAAAAACTGATGATAAAATTGATGTTAGCACAAGCACAATAAAGCGAACTTTACATCATAATGGTCTTTCTTCATGAATTAAGCGAAAAAAACCATATCTCAAAAAAACACATCAAATTCAACATTTAAAATTTGCGAAAAAATATCAGCATTGGACTATTAACGATTGGAGCAAAGTCATCTGGTCGGATGAATCAAAATTTATGATTTTTAATTCAGACGGACGTGAATATTACTGGAAACGTGATGATGAACCTTTGAAAGAGCATCACGTAAAACCTACAGTAAAATTTGGGGATGGGAATATAATGGTTTGGGGTTGCTTCAGATTTTTCGGCGTTGGTAATATCGTACGCATTATGGTCATATGGATAAGAATTTATATCGCGAAATCTTAATGATGACCTTTTAGGAACAATCCAGTGGTATAAAATTAATAAAAATGATGTTGTCTTTCAACAAGACAATGATCCGAAACACACGGCAAAATCTACGTACGAATTGTTTGATGATAATGATATCCGTTTGCTCGATTAGCCTGCCCAATCACCTGATCTTAACCCAATTGAGCATCTCTGGAACGAAATAGATCATCATTTGAGAATGTCGTCAACTGGTATCCATACTCAAGTTCAACTGTGGGATGCGATACAAAAAATTTGGATCGAAATTAATAACGCGTTTTTAATGAAGCTAATTGAAAGTATGGAGGAACGCATTCAAGATGTAATTAATGCGAGGGGTGGCTATACTAGGTGGTAATTAAAATTGGGGGTTAAATTTTCATAAATTTATTTAGTTTAGTGAGCAATTTCGATTTTACTTTTATTTATCAAAACGATCAAAAGAAACGGATCACCTGATTTGATGTAAAATGTGGTTTATTTTTTTTAAATGCACGATATGGAAAATAAATATGATACGATGTTTTGTCCATATATAGGCATTATAATGAGCCTATTTATATATTGATTGATATTGTATATGAAACGTTATTAAATCGTGAAATTTATCGTCCGGGTGATGCAATACTTTTGAGCGCCACTGTATATGTACATGTAGATCATTATGCGCATAGTACGCATAGTGATGTACTATGCGCGCATTTGCCCATCTCTAGTTAAGGCTGGTGAGGAAAAAATCATGTGACTGCCCGCAAACGTGCGCCATTACTAAGTTACTATAACGTTCCTAAGCATACAAGTGGTAAAGCTAAGAATTTTCTTGCGGAAAATGTACCCGAAGTTCATGATTGGCCGTCATCGAGTCCGAACCTATCGAAAACCTATGGGCAATCGTAAAACATGAAGTAGAAAAATGAATGCTGCAAAATTTAAACGAATTGATGCCACGCCGTTGTTCAGTTAAATCATGAAAATGTGGTTTGATGTGATGTGATTAGAAAGTTCTAAATTAAGTTTTTTGTCACTGACTGTACACTTTTATGCGCAGCGATATTTGAACAATTACATGTATATAATTTCAAAGAAAGCTTAGTAGTAAATTAAAGAAATTTTTGACTCAGATGTTTCTAAAATAAAAAATAAAATCTTATAGAATACAGTACATATAAAATACTTATGATAACCAATTTTTAATATTAACTTACAAGTTATGTTGACACTCCGGCGGGACATTCAAAATCTTGGCAGGTTATTTGTCTGATAAGCGAAACCCCGGATTCACGAATCCCGATATCGTGTTGATTTGGATGCATTCGATTTTCCAGTGCAGGACCGCAATATTGTATCGTTATATAGACTTAGAATTGAAATGTATCGCACTCTTTAATAAAACTGCAGCCTCTCGATAGAAGATCACGATTGTGGATAAGCATCTCAATATAAGCTACAGAGGCCTAATATTAATGTGGACGGTTTTAATTTTTAAATATAAGCAAAATTAAATATTAAATTCTTGAAAAGTTTAGCTTTCAAAAAAAATAGTCTTTAAAAAATCAATGCCTAATGGACGAATCAAATGACAGCGACTTGGATCACTGGACTTCGAGATATTGCAACGTAACAGTCAAATACATGTACGTGCGTGATCGATTTGGCCTACGTTGACTTTAACGTGATCATAATCACATTCTCGAATCGGCAGGGACCCGGAAAAATTTCGTTTTGATTTTGAAAAAATTCCGAAATTGAATTTTATTAATTATATAATTAATTCTTATTATAAATACATAATCATAAGTGCACGAAGAGATTCTTGACCTATTATTTTTTTATTATTAATGAGTTCAACTATAACTGGTATTATCTTCTATTCTTTGCATCCTATGGTGATTGCATAATCTATCTAAGTCAAAAGTTTAATAAGATTTATCATCATCCAAAATTTTGTTATACGCACTAAAACTACGTTCTACATTACATGATGAAATTGGCAATCAAATATACTTGATAGTTATTTCGCTGAGAAGGGGTAATTGATATGAAATTTTATTCCAAAAATCGTCTAAATTATTGAATTCGATCTCGCTTAAATTGATATTACAATAAATTGCCCATTCTTGTAGAAGTTTCGTAGATGGATTAATTAGTTCTAAAAGATATTGATACGAAGTAATATTATGATTAATAGTATAAAACGTGGATCAAATAAATATACGTGTTTCATTGAATAATAAACGTGCAGGATGATTGAGTATATGTTCATTATATTTGTTATATGCCAAATTATATGCTGATTGAAATACCGGATAAAATAATTCAGGTGGTGAATTTAATTGTTGAAAACCATCCAATACCGCTGGAGCAAGACTATTCGTTGTTTTTCCAGAATTAATTGCATTCTCTAGTTGTTGAATACGACTTTCAATAAATGGAAATAACGGAAAATTTTCTTGTTGAAAAAAATCGAGATCCTGAACAAATTGTTGATCATAATATTTAATAAAAGATAAACACGTCCATATCCAAAAGAATCTTCATAATAATATCTATAGCTGTTGAAGTATTTTCCTCCTGTTCTTTGATATAAAAATCTTTTATGTATTTTAAATATAAAAGCCATATGAAATCATGAATTTCAACGAGTTGCATTTGATAATGGAATATT